CCCCAAAACCCCAAAACCCCAAAACCCCATATCTAAACTAAAAACTTGAAACAAAACCCTAACTAAACTTTTAATACCACAAGCCAATCTTTCTAAAAACCCAATACCATCTTATTCAAAATCCAACACCTCTGAAAACATTATTTTCATCTAATTATTCCTCCTTTTCCTTGTTTTCAACCTTTTCTTCCACATCAAAATCCTCTCGTTTCGTTTTCTCCAAAATACCTACAATTGGCTTCACTAGTAAGAGTATAACAAGTGTTGCCAGGCTTCCTAACAAAGTCGGATAGAACAGCCCGTAAGCATCTATCAATTTGTAACTATACAGAACAGGCACCATCCGAGATAAGTTCGATATGGATGTAAAGATCGTTATATGAGTCCCAGCATAAAGAGGTGTGCACATTTTGTTGTAAGTTGCACCAGTCGCGCTGAAAGTTACTGCAAATATTATTGCCTCTGAGATTGTCACTAAAACCAAGCTAATGTCAAATATTCGAGAGTCATACTCTTGAATTGCATCATAGTTCCACAGAAGGAGGTTCACTGATAGTAAGTCAATGATAACTTTGGCAAATAAGATGAAATAGCCGGCCTTGAATGGATTATCATACACCTTCTTTGTAACCAAAGCAAAGGTTATTATTCTTACAGGAAAAGAAATTCCACTAATCATGGAGTACTTGGCTTGGTCATATCTTTTCTCCTCTAACAGATACAAATTCGATGCATTGGAAAATTCTAGAAATAACTTTGTGACCACCCAGAAGAAAATTAAATACAACATGTTTTTGTTCACAATTAGTTTGATTGCAAGCTTAAATGTTTCGTAAACACTAAGAGTTTGCTTATTCTCAGATTTAACTCTATCATCCTTCTCGTTATGGAAAGCTAGAATGTAGAGAGATGCAAGTAGTGTAAAGATCCCCCAACCATACATGAAATTGGTTTCATTAAGAATTGGTTGAGAGTAAAGTCCTTCTTCCAAACTCAATAATTCAGGCTCAACATACCAAGGCCTTATATAGGAATTACAGAACGAAGTAGAGTTAAATGCTAAGTACACAGTAGTTGAAATAAACGACCCCATAGAAAGCCCAACGTTTTGAGCTGTTCAAGAGTATCCAAGACTCTCTTCCTTCACAATAGTTACTGCCCATGCGTCAGCAGCAATATCTTGGAGTGCTAAACACAAGAAAATTACTCCGAAGGCAAAAGTAACTACGTAGACAGAGTAATTTGTCACAATCATATCAATGTCCATCGTCACAAAGAATATTGCTGCTAGAAGCTGAGTTGGGATAATCCAGGTCCTTCTCTTACCAAGAGAACTCCAGTACACAGAATCCACAACAGGAGCCATCAAGAACTTGATCTTGAAAGGAATCGAGGAGAAGGTAAGGATCCCTACATCCGTGTAAGAGTAATGCTTCTTTAGTATTATTCTCATTGTACCTAGCAAGAATCCGACAGGAATTCCTTGGATTATGTATATTATAAGCAAAATAAAGAGTCTGTACTGGTCTCCGTTCAAGAATTGCATGTTTTGTTTGCTTCAGTAAATTCTATAATTGACTCCCCTCCAGGGGTTTTGGGGTTTTGGGGTTTTGGGG